ATCTGAAAGCAATTCCATAGAAAATTTGCCTCCAATTCCTCTGAAAAATTATGAAAGAAAAATGTCGTTAACCAATCGAAAAACTGAGAATCATAGCCTGCAACCCTGTTCCTGTGCCCTTGCCGCTGTTTGTAGCCACTGTCTTTCCCTGTTGCCGTGCCCCTTGCCATCACCCTCGTGCTCTCCATTTTTGGGTCTCCAAATTAAGACAGTGACCTTCTGAACTTCTCGACCGACCAAAGAAAAAGCACTTCCCTAGGGTTTGAACAAGGTGAAAGTCCTCTAAAGTCCCTTATTTTATTCATGAAAATGTGCTTTCTATTATTTTAGTGTTTTGCAAATTAAAGTCAATACAGAAAGTTAAAATACTTACAATAGAGAAAGAGCAATAGGGAAAGAACGAGAACTAAGCCCTAAGAAGATATAGAGATTGAGAGTCCATGCATGTATATTATTTTTCTTGTCTACTTGTTTAACTGTCTGTACAAGTCTCTGTGTTGATCATCCAACTTATTATTTGCATTGAATCAAAGGAAAACATATGATTAAAATAAGATTAAGTGTCAAATTTAATTCATAAACTTTTAATTTTAAACAATTTTACTCTTTGAAATATTTTTTACACTGTTTTCACTCCTTAACTATGAGCAATGCATTTTTTTTATCCTCCCCTCTGTTTTATTTGTTAAGTCTGTACAGTTTGCATTTATTTTGTCCTTGAAAATTTTGTTCTATACAAACTTTGATCCCTAAACTTTTGTTTTATATACATGAGATCATTAAAGGAAATTAAAAAATTGTTAGTTGGACGAACTTAATGGACAAAATTGATAGAAGACCATCAAGGAAAGGAAACTAATGGGTGTGGGGTTGTCACATACCATTCAGTTTCAATCGATCTAGAAGACCGTTGGCCTCCTAATAATTATCCTTTCAAAAATTTTCATTTTCTAATAAAAATGAAAATGAAAATTGTTTTCTAGGAAGAAAAAGAAATTAAAAATGGAAAAAGTTTTCTTCTCTTGCCAAACATACACCAAGTTCTTAAGGGAGTTGGGATGATAAGCACCATTCTCATATTGTAAACTGTATATAGTTTTTTTTTTTTTTTTAATGAGTAAAAATGAAGTATTTTATTAAAAATGTACATTAATGTCAAATTTAGTCTATAAACTTTCAATTTTGAACAATTTTAGTTGTTGAGCAATTTTTAAAAATTTTTTCATCTCTCTACTATGAGTAGTGCACTTTGTTGTCCTTTTATCAGTTTTGTCCATTAAGGTTGTACAATTGCCATTTTTGTCCATGAAATTTTGTCTTATGCACATTCTTTGCCCTTGAACTAATATTTGTTGCACATTTTTAGTTGATAAACTTTTGTTTTATGCACATTCTGGTTAGTAAAGGAAATTTTAAAAATGCCAGCTAGACAAACAACTTAAAAAAAAATGAGGAAATGGCAAAAAAGGTACACTTTTCATAGTTGAGGAATGAAAATGTGCAAAAAATAATTTAGTGACTAAATGTATTCAAAATTCAAAGTTTAGGAGCTAAATTTTGATATTTAACCCAAAAAGTTTAAGGGCCAAGAATTTTTTTATTATAATTATAAGGCTACAATATCAAGTAGGAACACTTGCCAAACATTATTAGATTCACATCAAATATTCTATTGAATATACCCAAAAAAAAAAAAATCTTATGGACATCAAGAATTAATAAAAAAATGTTAAATATGGAATCTAGTTAACCATCATAGGAAAGAACAGAACATCTGTTTATAAATGTAGAAGACTCAATTTCAAAGTATAAAAGGGGAGAAAATATAGACTCCAATCCCATTTGTTCATTAAAAAAAAAAAAAAAAGAACAGAGATTTAGAGAAATGGCTAGTGCAAAAAATCTTACAACATTTGCTCAACCCTCCTTCATGGGGATATTATGTTTGGTTTTGCTTTCGACTTCAGGTATAATTTTTTCTCAAATCTTTATTAAATTTTCTGTTTATAGAAAAGTAAAGAGGATCAAAACATAAAATAATTGATCTTATTAAAAAAATAGAGAAGAAGATCAAATTATGTAATGATTGATCTAATTGTAGAAAAAAAGAATATCACACCATTATCAAGATTGATTGACCAAGGAAAAATCAATTGACCAAATTGATTGATTTTAAAGTTTTGATATTAATTATAAGGGTAAACTACATGCAACTTTGTCATAACTTTCGATTTGGTCACTCTTCGTTGAAATTTGCAAATATAGTCACTCATCTTTAGTTTCATTTTTGTCTGTTCATCTGTTCCGTTGACCCATGCCCACCTTCATTAATTCTATTGTCTTTTATGCTGACCTGGCATTATTTATGTTGACATGGCACTAGAGTGGCCAACTTTTCCATGTAATCAGCTTACATGACACCTGCATGAAAAATAATACATTTTTCATTGTTAAAAAATCTTTTGGCAACAAAAGTAAAAATTGTAGATCTTAAAATATTATCTTACATGACACCTACATGACACAACACTT